TGAAACATGTTTCTTTGTTTTTCCATGATATATTACAATGTTTAATTTTTTTTTTGACTTTAAATGTTCAACTAGAATGCCTATCTCTCATCACTGTTCCTGGATAAATCTGGAATAAGACTTGCTTTTTCTGATTAGAAGCAGATTCTGATTAATATATTGGTATTTTTTTTCTCTCTGTGGTTTACTCCCTTTGAAATTCAAAACTCACTATCATTAGTTATTTTTCAAGGCTCAGATTGACTAGCTGCTGATATTCTGTTTCTCGCTAAGTGCATTGTTGAATGAATGAAATTGGGTGAGCTGAGACAGACTCTTCACTGATCAGCTACCAGCAACTCTGTGGCCATTGGTATCACGGTGACAGACGTTTATGATTTAATGGCACTTTAGTAATAAAGCTAGATGCAGAAGGAAAAAAAAATCCAGTGCAGCTAATCTGAGTCCAGATTAAATATATAGGATTTGTGGATGATATGATGGTTCAGTTTCAGTGAAATAAATCCAGAAATCTGGAAGGTTGTGAAATTGGTTTTACTGTGTAGGATAGAAAATTTGCTGCTTTGTCTGATGACTTATTAGCCAGCTCTTTGGCAGTTCTAGAGTGACCAGTTTGTCTGGATAAATTAGGGAACCAAGATTATTGCTATTAAACAGGTAAGGACAAAACAGAAAAGTATAAGGAACCAGATTATTTAGATGTATTCAAGTCAACATGGCTCCCATGAAATTCAGTCTAGAAAAAGGGTTCCCAAACTGCAGTTCTAATTATAATTTGTGGCTCTTCATTGAGAGCGAGTCGGGGGTGGGGGGTTGGGGCAGGAGCTGAGGCGCAATGATTAGAGGTATGGAGCACCTCTCCTATGAGGAAAGGTTAAGAGAATTGGGATTGTTCAGCCTGGAAAAAAGAAGGCTTTGGTGTAATCTAATTGCAGCCTTTCAGCCTTGCAGCTTCTCCTGAAGGGAGACTACAAGAAAGATGGAGAGGAACTATTTACAAGAGCACGTAGTAACAGGACAAGGGGAATGGCCTCAAACTGAAAGAGAGGTTTAGATTAGATATTAGGAAGAAATTCTTTATTGTGAGGGTGGTGAGGCAATGGGACAGGTTGCCCAGGGAAGCTATGATTGTCTCATCATTGGAACCGTTCAAGGCCAGGTTGGATGGGGCTTTGAGCAACCTGGTCTAGTGAAATGTGTTCCTGCCCATGGCAGGGGGGTTGGAACCAGATAATCTTTAAAGACACTTCCAATGCAAGCCATTCTGTGATTCTGTGATTGTTGGATGTGGATTTTTTCTTCAAGTTGGCATAGAATCAGGACAGTGTCAGCATGATGGTGGCAATAAGAAAACCAGGTTTGGAAATTACTGCTTCAAGGAATTCAGAAAGTATCAGGGACAAACTCTGACTCACTAGGTACTGATTGAGACCAAATGGAGGATTGTGGAAATCCCATCTGGGTGGGAGAGAAGCTGCTAGTATGTCCTCATGAGAGAAAGCTTGAGGTGATATATATAATATTGGGCAAAAATATTAAACAAATAATTTATATAAGCACCTACAGAAATAGTTAAAAGAGAACAGGCAACATACATTTCTTAAAAATAAACCATGGCAAAAGAACATAATTCTTTTCTTTAACTGTAAAGTCGTTTCAATATATAGGAAGAAACATTAGATGCAATATATATCTTGTCAAAAGTCTTCTCAGATATTACTGTCCACCTGACATTCTTCAGAACAACTAAGAAAATATGAAGGACATGTAATCACCATGAGTTGAACCCATACATGACTGGAACGGCTTATGATCAATAGTTTGCTACCATCCATGGACATTTAAGGCTATATTTTTTAGCATCACAGCCTGATCTGTTTTCATTTAATGTTTATTTTTAATGTCTAAATGAAGTTTATGTTCACTTTTAAATATCAGTAATATGAAATTCAACAAAGATAAATGTTAAAGATTACATCTGAAAAGAAAATGTCAGAGGCATAAATACAATATTCTGCCTATGCAGAGTATTATAGAAAAATATTTGTGTAGTTTTGCTGATTGACACTTTTCAGGCATTAATCATACTCCCAGGATATATAAACAGCATTTTTTTCTTTTACTGGACACAGGAAGGGAGTTCTCTTCACGGGGAATTACTTAGGCTGCTTGAAATACACTGCAGTTTGAGACTGTGTACTTTGTCAGTGATTCCAAAGATCTAACCAAAGACAGTTCAGAAGAAAATGCTACCAATGAAGAGTTTTAGAAAATGTAATGGGCAAAGACAGACAGAAGGAATTTGGTTTGCTGAGATCTGCTGGAGTAGTATGCTTCCAGAATAAATTGCTTTTAGAAGGTGAATAGCACTCAACTTCTTTTTAATATCTTCTAGGCATAAAAGAAAAAGAAGTGAACTTGAATACCAATAGAGATTTACATTTAGATGTTGGGAAAATAGATCTTTTCAGTACAGGAACATTTTGAAATATCTTTTAGAGAGTTAACTGGATAATTGTTGCCATCTGTCTTGGTAGCGATATTTTTTATTCAAATCTGAAGTCAGCTTTTGGTGTCCAGTTGATTTGTGTACTGCATGGCTGCCTCTGGGTTAATTGCTTTGTCTCAGGTGCCTTTCCACCAAGGAAAAGTGCAAGAGACACACCACAGCGTACAGAAGTTATGTCATGTATGTGCAGTGTGTTCTACTTAAAAAGAAATTGATTTAAGCTTTAGAGCATCAGCTTACTTTTTATCTTCATCTGCCAATAGCTATTAAGCTAACATAAAAAGAATGAAAAAATTAGCTGGAAAGCTACTCTACAGTCATCAAAGTACAAAAGCAGAGAGAGAGACAAAACAGCAACAAGGTAGGAGTTCTTTGGAAACATGAATATCAATGCTAAAAAATATATTTTAAAAATCTTAGTGTGTTTACTTGTCATGTATGGTTTAGAAAGCTTTTACTTCTTAATGCAAATGATACTAGGTTTTATGTTGTGGCTTTGATGTGAACTTATGTGGCTAAACTACAAAACGGATAGATTAGTTGTAATAGTTTTCATCATACATGAATGTAATTAGTTCACTTTTTGACATGATTTTCTTGATTGAAAGCTGCTTTCCAAAGCAAATTACTGGGATAGCCTTGCTGCAAAGTAATTTCTCTCATGTGAAAATAAAGTTACGAACTTGTTAAAAAGAACATGTATTTAATTACTCTAGGTCAATCAAGTTCATTATATGAGCTCTCAAACTGCAAATTGAACTTTAACAGTATATCCCCTATGTAAAACTGAAGGCCTGATTAACTTTACCAAATTTTCTTCATTGGCACTGATTATCATTTGCATACATTTTTACTATTAAGGAATGCTTTTTTTCCTGTACTGAGAGAAAAATGAGATTGATTTTTGGCAGCTGGTTGTGAAATACATTTTAAACAATATATTTATAAAATATCTTTAAGTGATTTGGAAAATAAACATATTTATTTAGGATTGGTCCTTTTGTTAGAATGAAAGTGAAATATTCCTGTGAATTCGTTTTCTCTGTTCTAAATAAGTGTCAGATGCCTAGAGTATTTTAAGCACTTGTATTTCAAAAACCTAAAACCAAAAATAGCTGAATTTCTAGTAAGTGCTCCAACGTGGAGCTAAATAGAAGGCAATTATCTAGTACAGAACCTGACCCTATTCATATTTCCTCATGTTTGTTTGTTTTTGTGTTGAATGGGAGAAATGTGAGTACTGTGTTCATTATATTGTTTTAGTACTGTAATTCTGGGATCTACTGATGTAGTAAAGTAAGAAATCAGCCCCCAAATTCTGAAGCTGAAGGAGTCTGCACTGAAGCTGGGTGGCATATGGAAAAAACAGGGGACATGACAAAGCAGTCTGCATGCACTGCATGAGATGTCCTTTATATCTGAGCATGAAACCATGTACCCATGTTTTTGAATGGAGAATGTGTACATGTAATCAGGGGATAAAAAAATATGACTAAATTTTGGCTATTTTCTTCTCATTAACTGGTCTATGTTTTAAATAATTCAGATTTGGATTTTGCAAATTGAATCAAAGTAAAAGTACTTCCATGCTGTTTTCATACAGTTGCATACATAGTGAGCTAAAAGCCTACTAGGATACAGGCAGTGGGATAGTGATAGGCAGGTGCTTTAACCTAGACTTTTTGGCCATTTGTATATCTCAGAAAATCTGCTTAGTGGTTTCCTATTTTTACTTTGTGGGCTCCTCAGTAGTTATCTATGATTGCATCACGTAAATGGTGCCTCTGAGAAAATGCCAAATGTTTAGATGCATCCATTTGATCAGCCTTTGCAGACAAATGCGTTGGAAAGACTCAGTCAAGCGTACAGACCTCTGCAAAGGAAGGATACATACTTGTAAGGCAGAAGATTATTCCTGAATTCTTGCTCTGCCTAGTCTGGAGCAGGTCTTTGAATCAAGCTTTCCCCAGCTCTGCAAATGTACAATGCTGCTAGGTATTCAGTAACCTAATCTTGGAACTATTGCTAAATAATTGTGTTTTTACCAGAATAAGAACCTGAAACTGAACTTTCACCTGCCACAGATTGAAAGTACTGAACTATAATGAATGTCAAGCCTGTTTTATTCAGTGATTATTTACACTAAGTGGAAGGGGCAAATAGGGTAGGAGATAAAGTAGTCCTATTCCACTCTGCCTTGCACTACAGAACTGGAGGGAAATTCCAGTATTACCTTGGATCTCATTCAGGCTCAAAATGAGAAGTGAGGTTAGGTGAGGAAATGAAGAAGCTGGGTAACTGGCTGAGCAGCCAAACCATGGAGCTGTATAACAGGAATCTGGGGTGTGTTCAAGTTTGTCTCACACAGACGGTGCTGACTTTGGAGATTACTCTCCTTAGAGGAAGTCTGTGCATCTATTACTCCTAAAGTTAATATATAACAAATCTGAGAATTGAAATCAATGCACTGACTTCTGTTACTCCCTTTCTTAGGTAAATGAACTTTCTTTTGGATTATGTAGTGAGTGTCATACGCCTAAAATACTGCCAAGAGCTCAGCTGGATTTCTAAACTAGGTATAGCTATTTCTGTAGATTTTTCTCTAGGGTAACTTTTTGCTTTGCTTTGCTAACAACAGTCTGTATTGAATGTCTGAATGGAAAGATGTCTGTTTCCCCAATGAACAGCTGAAATGTTTTTAAGCTAACTAGTGAACTGTTGTAATACAATTGCCTTTCATGAAAGCAGTTATTTTTGCATTTGTTGATTGACTTCTGTTTTCCACTGAAAAATGTATTAATGACAGTGTTTGCTGCTGTTGGCTACTTGTGACCTGTTTTCTCATATTTTCCAGGAGGAGACTGCGTGTCTTTAATAGAGAACTTTGTTTCTAACTCAGCTGGTATTTTAACTACTGCTAGTAGTCTGCTGCAGCATCAGTCATAATTTTCCATTACTGTCCATCATCAAATGATGGAATGATGAAAGCACCGGCTCTACAAGTGTTTGATTCTTAATGCAACAACAAAAACCCCCAAGCAACAACTAGAGTATATCAGTAAGGTTAACCAGAGGCTCATTTGGGTAACCACCAAGTCAGTACTGTCAGTTCATAAACTCCAGACAGGGCATGTTTGAGTATATGCAGAATATGCAATTAAGCAGCCTTACAGTCATGCAGTTTTTCCATTGTAAATTTTGATCTATAAGAGGACTTGGAGGATACTCATCTGTCTCTGGGATTTGAACTGAGAAGGTTGCCTATGAAATCTAAGTCTACATCAGTAGAATTGCTCTTCATACTTTTTTTTTTTTATGTCTCAGTCCAATATTTGTCCATATTGTATGTTCATCTATTGTCATATCAAATTGAGAATTATCCCATACATAAGTCTTTCAATGTTTAAGACTCTTGTTTGGTCAGAATGCTGTTTTCTTTGCTAGGGGACTTCTTAGAGAGAAGACAAAATATGAGCTTGGAAAGTAGAGAATACTCCTTCCAGGTACTGCAAGGCACCACCAACAATATTAATCTTCAACATGTCTGCACTAGTATAGATGTATGGTATATAACATACTCTGAACAGCACAGAATAAAATAATCTTAGAGATTCTGGAAGATTGAATAAAAATGTTCCCTTAGGTTCCTAGACTAAGTCTGGTGTGTTTTCCAAACTGTGGGGGGTTTTATAATCATTCACATAGCCTCATGTAGCTCTATAATTTCTATAAGTTCTATGAGGTTCTGTAATCAGAGAAAGGTATCTTTTTCTGCTGTGAACAGCAAGTACAACTATTTTCAGAATTTTTTCAACATTATTGTGTTATTTGTATTTTCTGGTTGCATTATTATTAATGTCATTTTATCACTGATGAGGTTAGACGTAAATCAATTCAGGTTTTGCCAGAAGATGTCTAAACCTACCAAAACTTTGTATGACTTTCAGTTTTATTACTTATCACCCTATGCTGGCACAGGCCTCAGTCAGTTTTGCAGTGTGAAAACAAATTCTGTCTCACACACCAAGCCAGCAAGACTCCAGCAGTTTGTAGCACTCTTTTTTAAAAAAATCTCTGAAGGTTCTCTTCCTCTTACTTACAGGGCTCCAAATATCTGCTGAAGGGACAGAGATTATAGATGAACTCACTTCTGCCTCACTTCTGTGGAAAGAAGAGAATGACCAGCTGGTGATGACAACCTAATGATTGGCTTGTTTAATCAAGAATTATTTGTTCATGTTTTTATGCCAGGAGAGATTGCAGAAGTCTTGGGAGGTAAGTACCTCTTATTTCAAGTCTCATAGGTAGCGACTTTAATGAAAAAATGGACAGATTCTCCCGTCCTCAATTTTAAAATAAAAGAGTGAACCATATTCACAACAGTGAAAAGTTTATTTCTGGATTTGGATTCTGTATCCTTGTGTGGAAACTTTATTGTTTTACTGCATGTGGTGCAATTTCCTGTTTTATGTTAGTGTGAGCAAAAAAGTTACATAATATTTTGTTCAGATAGTTTCAGCAGGGAAAAATTAAGATTGTATATGGAGGAAAATGACCTTGATCATGTGGAGTTCTTTATTTCTTTTGATTAGCATATTGCCCTGCTCCAAGATCTATTTATCTATCTCTTTTCTCTAGAAAAGCAATGACAAGCCCGAAACTGTTACAGTTGAAGGGTTTGGTTAATCCTCAAGATGCCTGTCTTGGCACATCTGTCACCATGATGTATTTTCCAATTGCCTCTTGCAGATAGCCATGTAATACATCCTCCTATTTTAAAAATACCTGTTCTCAAAAGGAATGAATCGGTATGACTTGTCTGTTTCAAAAGCATTACATAGAAAATAGAAATTTCTATCACAATGCTGTTGTCAATGAACATCTTGAAGGTTTTTTTCGATTCTTTAACCAAACCTTATAAAAACCTGCAGTCAGTGGGATATGAGACTTTTGTCTGAACTCTACAGTTTGACATACAAATGAGGTGATGCATACAAATGAGGTGATGCATGCACTCCTAGCTGAGGATATTTAAGTTATCTAACCCAGTTAAACTGACTAAGGTTGAAAGAGGTTTAAGAGCCCAATATTTCCTAAGCGGGAAATAAAGAATAACTAGATTAGATGTGCACAATATAGAAGGAAAAATAAAGATAAAACTTGACATTTCTGGTAACCAAAGAGCTCAGAAAGGAAGTAAAACTGTGTGATGGACTTATTTAAATGTTTCCTCATGTGGAATCATAAGAAATTGCCTCTAATCTCTTCACATTGAAAGACAGAGTGTGTTGGGGACAGATTTTAGTCTTGCAGTGTAACTGTGAAGTTCAAGTCTGATGCTTTCATCTTGTTAGCTAAAGGACTGCAATGGCTGGATATATGAAACAGTTTAGCCACAGAACATCTCTTCAGTTTTGGATTAATAGTTGATTACAGGTTTGAAGTTAATAGAAGGAAGGAATAAAAAGCACCACTGAACAATATTGGCCCTGCATTCCTCAGGTCATATTGCTTGAGCAGTGTCAGAGACTGAAATAGTTAATGATTTATGCATTCTAGGATTGCCAAGGGACTTTTGCAGGCTTTTGACTTTTGCATTATGCCTCTGATGGGCAGTTGGGCCCATCCCTCCCTTCAGAGCTGAAGGTGTTGAACCCTAAAAAGGCAAGAAGATACCTCAGATGGGCAGTTGGACCCTAAAAAGGCAAGAAGATGCTTCAGATGGGCAGCTGGACCCACCCCCCTCTCTGCCAATCTTGAAAGGCGGGAACCAGGCCAGACCCAGAAGCTCTGTGCAAGCCCAGGGAGAGGCTGGAGGCTCGAGACATGGCCCGTGACACTGATCATGGATATGGTAACTCATGGCTTCTTGGAGTGTGGGGGTTTTTCCTTCTCCCCCACCGCTTGCGGATCAAGACCACCACTCTCAAGATTACCAAGCTGCATTGCTGACTCCAGTGAGTGACCATCGCTCTCAAGATTGCCAAGCTGCATCGCGAGATACAGTGGGCGGTGACTATATACATTTCTTTTTCACTCTCATCTTTTCTTTACTCTTATCCTGTTTTCTCTCCCCTGTGCATTTCCCCCCCCCAAAGGTTATCTTTATGTTGCATCTTTATATGACAACACCCAAAACGCTGGCTTACCTGATGAGGCAAAATTGTTAAAATAAATTTTGGCAATATATGTTTTCAGACACCGATTATTTAGTGTCGTTTCGCTTTAATCCACCCCAAGGGAAGTATTGATAAAAACATGAGTTACCCCCCTCCCCTTTTCCTGGGGCGGGTCGTAACAAGTAGGAAGGGATGAATTTCCTTTTCATTCTAAGTATACACAGGTAAAGTGATTTGAAACATTTTATGTGAATTTGAACATGACTGGATTTGCATTTCTTTCAAGGAAATTCTCTAAAAGCATAGCACGTATCAAGACAAGAAAAGTTGGAAGAAGGAGCTTGGAGAAATAATGAGAGGAAAGAGAAAAATAGAAGCACATCCAAAAGAGAATAAATCCTTGGAAAATTATATACACTAACCATGCTAACCTCACTTTGTTTTTAGTTCTAGCATGTGACATGAACTTTTATATAGGTTTCATGTAAGAAATTAAACTCAGAATGAGTTAAAAGCCTCAAACTGCCCTACATGTAGTAACCTCATCCAGTTTTGTAAGCTTGTTTACAAGAATTTATTATATTCCCAAGTTTTCTGAGTTTTCTCCAGCATTCCTTGAATCATTGTTAATATCCTTAAACCCCCACAAAAGCTTGTTACCTCATTATTAAGCCTGCTGATCTGCTGTTTGGTCTCTTCTGCTTTGATAACGAGTACAGCAGCACCAATTTCAGCCTCTGAAAATAATTCAAATACATGCAAATGAGATAAGTATAACCATTTGGAAATGGCAATACTATTCTGCACTTAACCAATGCCTTAAATTTAAACCTAGTTTGCACTTGGCTAGAATGAAAATAAAATCATGCATTAATATTCAGTGTATAACATGTAAGAGAAGTGCGATGAATAAAGTCCATACTGCTCTCTTCCGTCTTGACCTGAAAAGATTGAAAATGACAAACCTGGTGCCAATCACATGACATGTCAACTCTTTTTAAAAATCATAGATATGATTAAACTTTTATTATTATTTTCCACACAATATGTGTTCTAATTGTCTCCATGCTAAATGTAGCTATGTGGGGATTGCTTACTCATAAAAGAGGGGATGTTGAAAACAGTCTCTCTGCATCTTTATCTTTTTTTTCCCCATCTTGACACGTTCTATTCCTCTGTGGTGCTACTTTATCAAACTTTTCAGAGTGTAGGTGAATTAAGGCTTCCTAAGCTCCCTTGATATTCAAGGTTTTCACTCTTTTACTTTTAAAAATCTATGTACTTCCATACTTTTCCACTTGTGTAAATATCTTTAAAAAAGTTGAGACCCAAGTTTACATATGGCTATTAATGAATTTTTAGTTTGGAGTTTTTTTCTTGTTTATTTATGGTTTGTATTTTTTTCTTAATTTGTTATTAGAATGTTTTTTGATGTTGAATTTTGTCCTTGTGTTTAGTACCTTCCATGCCCAAAGCTTTGGGAGCATGAGGTGCCTGGCAGATCCTACAATACTGCTGGTAAAGTATAATACATAAAAACACAGTACTCTCCACAAACTGTTTCATCATGACTGTCTGTTAGCAGGAAAACAACAAACAACCTCTGGGACCTTGTTGTACTTTTCTATGGTACCAGTTGTGGCACTGAAATGGTACTGAGAGTACAAATATATGTTTAATCCATTTATGCCACTTCTGAGGATCAAAGAAACAAAGGGGAACAAAAAGCAGTTATGAAAACTGTTTTCTCTAAAGAGTGATTTTCCCAGGTAAAACTCACCTCCAGTTGTAGGAGATAACCTGGATTCCTGCCTGAGCTGATCGGAGCTGAAGTCAAAGGTTTGGCTTTCCTCATTGTGGTTTCTGTCTTCAATTCCATCTACAATTCTGTTGAGAAAAATCAGGGTAGTGGAGCAGTTTCATAAACAGTTTCATAAACATCACGTTCATAATTATGCTGTAAAAATTACTCCTAAAGGGCACATTTTTAAACAATGGTAAATTTTGCACAACATTAAGTTTAGAGAAAAGTAAAAACTATTATACTGGTATAACTTCTTGTGAGTCACTAAAGAGTAAACTTAGTGTTAATGGAAGGAACATGAGGCCAGAAATAATGAAGTTTCAAAATTTTCATGACTTTTGCAGCATATTCTGAGTCTTACCTAAACCTATATGGAATATAGTTTGCTTTTCATAGCTAAAGTAATCTGTTGCCACCTTTTCCTCTGCACAATCTAAAAAGCTCTTGTTAAGCTAAAATCTGCCTGCACATAACAACCAGGCTCTTATATTAGCCTTACTTAGCCAGAGCCTAAGCCTGAACTTAATATATTTATGAAAACATCTCTGTAAAATTCAGTCAAAAGTGTCATTTCCATGCAAATAGTTATTATATATTTGTTTAAATTTAACTAGCTCAGGCAGGGCAATCTTGTTTGTAAATTGGATACAGGAAGATGTGCAGACTAGTCTGCAGTGTCCTAGTTACACTAATATCGATATTAGATATGACTACCAGAAAAAGGATTTTTGTCACTTATTTCTACCCATGCATAGCAGTTATCTCCAATTTCCAATGTTAAGAAATCGAAAGGAAAAAAAGGTACAGTACTTTATACAATAATCAATTCTGCATGCAAAGAATAGAAAACAGGTATCAGATGGAGGAATAAATACACAGTATTAAAAATACATAATTATGAATATTTTTTTTCTGAGTTATAATAAATAGTGCTATAAAGAGAACTGTTTTAAAGTCAATGAAAGAGACTGACAACTGCCAGTTGACAGATATAAAGCATGAATTTCTTCTTTTGTCCAGGTACAAGCTTCATATTTTGTCTTACAGTAGGCAGATGAGTTTAATACTAATCTTGAAGGGCTAAAGCAAGCAGTTCTTGGCCTCTCAGTTATTGGTGATAATTTTGGGATGATGGAAATTAGACTTTTCATCTAATAAGGATATTTTCAAGAAAACTTCTTGACTGTAACTGTCTGGAGAAAGGAAGAACAGACAACACAGACATATCTGTGATGTATTTGCCTTGAAAGACCCATGTAACTTAGACCTCTGTGCACATACCATGTATTCTTGTCTTTTTTGGCTCTTCATGTGGCTTTTGGGCTCTGTTTCATGTCTGAGTGTTCACGATGCCTGTTGGATATTACTAGACTTCACACTAATCTTAACCAGCCTCTGGGAGAAGATGAGACTCAAATGAGGTGCTTCACCTGCTCTGGCCGATAATGCTATCTGCAGCTGGAAAACTGAATGATTACTTTGTTTGAAATTTGCTATAAAACCTATTTAATGTCATCTGGCTTCACTACTTCAAAAAGCAAATTTTAAACACCAATATCCCTTTTATAGAAGTTTCTAATTATGTGAAATGATAACATTTCAACTGCCTTTAAAACACACAGGAGAAAGCTTACTCAGGCGTGACTTGGAATTCAGAGATACTACATTCTTTAAAATGTTTAAAGATTCAGGCTAAAAAGAAATTATATTAGCAAAAACAGCTAGTTGTGGAGTGCCAAAAGACAGGCTTCTATGTGGGAAATATATAATGGGCAACATCCTTACTCATATACAAGGAACTGGCTGTGGAGCAACATAATCTAATAAACTGAAAATGTGAGGTGACAAAAGAATTTGGTGTCTCACCCCTTTCTGAATCAGCTATTGTACAGCCCTGAATTTTCTCCTGAAGACAGACAACCCACTCCTAGAAGCCAAAAAGTCAGAAAAGATTAATATGTGACATCTTCTACCCAGTTGCTCAGGGCTAGAGCGCACTCCTCCATGTGGATCTGAGGAGCTTTGAGTACATAAATGCATCCTCCTAGGACTGCCTTTATTATTACATACATTTTCTTCCTTTTGATGCTCTTTCACTTCACAGACAGCACCCAAAATGGATTGGGAAGACTAGAAGCTACAATGCTAGCTTCTGCTCCTTGTGACAAGAACTCTTTAAATATTTTACCCAGTCTCTGGGCTTTATTGCCTTCACTGTGGTGCACAGTGAAAGAACTTGTAGCAGCCACAGAACTCTGTGAAGAGTTCTGGTTGGCTTACTCTAGGAAAAATCAGAGTAGAACAAGTTTCTTAAGAAGACAAAGTATATTCTCTTGAGAAAGTGTGGTTATACAGTTCAGAACTGAAGTGAATGGACATTTCAACCAGAGTCTTGTCTTTCCCTTGCCTTCCCTTGCTTTCCAACAGCAAATAAAAGTGAAAATTTTAATTAAGGTTTTATTTTCTCCTTAATACTTACAAAGAAACATTTAAGGCTCTTTTTTAAAGTGGTATTAGCTTGTCAGTTTAAATATTCTAATAATATAAACTCATTCTAGGAAATAATATGAAACTGTTTTGGCTGGAAAACAAAGTCTGAAAAACATATACATTTTGGGCCTGTTTTCCAGCCTATTAACCAAATTATTCTGCAGTTATAAAATTATGAATGGAAATAGGAAATAATAACATATATAACAATGATTTTTTTATATTTGCTCTTGCAGTCTTGGGTGCCAATATCTGGCTGCATAAGTTCAGAACAATAATGAACAAGATTACGTTACAGCAGAAAATATGAAACGTTGCTTTTCCCTGAATTACCACTTTTTATGCAAATGATAATGACCTTTACTCATAGCTGACTGAACCAAATTCATATGAGAGCTATGAAACAAATGAGAAAATATCCACTATGCATTTCAATTTTGCTTGTGTAGAAGCTAATTTTCCACACATTATCTTCTCCTGTACTGACTCCCTATTCAGGGTCTAGAGAGTAAGTCCTATGAGGAGCGGCTGAGGGAGCTGGGGTGGTTTAGTCTAGAGAAAGGGAGGCTCAGGGGAGACCTTATCACTCTCTACAGCTACCTGAGAGGAGATTGTAACAGGATGGGTGTCGGCTTCTTCTCCTTGGCAACTAGTGAAGGATGAGAGGAAACGGCCTCAAGTTGCACCAGGGGAGGTTCAGATTGGTAATCAGGAAAAATTTATTCACAGAAAGGGTTGTCAAGCATTGGAATGGGCTAATCCAGAAGGTGCTGGAGTCACCATCCCTAGAAGTTTTCAAGAAACAACTGAACGTGGCACTTAGTGCTGTGGTTTAGTTGGCATGGTGGTGTTAGGTCAAAGGTTGGACCCCATCTTGGAGATCTTTTCCAACCTTAATAATTCTGTGATTTCTATGATTCTGTGATAAAATGGAAGTCAGTTTGTATCCTGCTCTTATTTGAAATGTAGGTGTACTGATCAAATATATGTCGAGGGGGAAAGATTTCTATATAGTCTTCCATGTCCTTTTTATGACTGCATCTTTAGGGACAGGTACTTTGACAGAATTAAACAAATATGGCCAAGCTGTGCCTATTTCATGTTTGCAATGGCAAGTTGCTGAAACTTCCATTCTGCCTCTAATGAATAAAGGAAGTTCTTGAACATGTAAACCATTTCAAATTACAGAAACCAAAACTAGAACTGGAAGACCAACTGCTGCACCTCCTCATATGTGAAAAACTGCTTGTGATTTCTCTAAAGAACTGATCTTAAAACTAGGATTACATTGCAGCAATTTAGAAACAAGTTACATAAATCACCTTATAAGTAGGATACAAGTAAAAAATTAAACTATTTTTAAATTGTACACTAATAATACCACAATAAACTGTTATATGACTCTTCTTCATGTCAAAAGACACGGCAAAATACATTTGCTAAACTCCATATTTAGTCTCTACATAACTTCCATTATCAGATTTCCTGTGTCTAATGAAAAACATATTTCTAAAATTGCTAGGCAATTGTTTTCCATTAAAGTCCTCTACTCCAGTAATTTTTGCATTTGCACAGCTATGCTGTAATTTCATCTACTTTCTTTCTAAATTGTATCTCTGATGGACTCAGAATGTTTCACTGTGGTATTGTGGGAATGCATATTATAGACAAAACAGACATAAAACCAGACTATACAAATAGCCATTTTTGCAGTTGCTCAATTTTTTCACTGCCCTTTTTACTGGTAAAAATACTTTATTTTGCAATAAAGTTCTAAAGTCATAACATTCTGCATAGTGTTAATGTTTCCTACAATAACATGGATGAACAAAAGTATAAACTATTAAAAAAAAAGAAGTATTTTTATAGTGTCATAATCATGATATTTTCAATAGGAGTTACATGATAGAGAAGAAGAAAATAAGTTCATAACTATTACCTTGGGCTCAGATCCGGTGGGCCACTGGTGGTCAGAGCTGAAAGGTGTAATTTAAGGTTCTTCTCCCTCCTGGAGTAGTAATGGAGCTCCGTTTCATGTTTAGCTCTTGAGGGGTTTGAACTACAAGCACGGATGGGGGAATGAAAGGGAACAGTTCCTGAGGCCAACTGCTTCAAGTTTCTCCCTAGGTAGCTTTTATTGCTTGCAGTCTTCTTCTGCTGAGAGCTATTTGTGCTTCTTGTATCAACTGGTGAAAGGATGCTGCTTTCCTCTTCTCTCTCTTCCTCATCTTCATCTTCCACGATTGAAGGGAGTCTTTTCTT